CATCTGTAAATCTGTACTCTGCTCTTGGGTCCAAACACAAGTGTCTTTTCTGTACCTCTCCCAAACTCATTCCTAGTTCAGAAGGTTCACTTGCTGTTCCCTGTACCCCCTACTTTTTCCATCCCAAAACCCGCAGCCCCAAGACCCTTTCCTCTCCAACTCCCATGGCTCCTCAACAGATCTGTAGGGTCTAGGCTTCTTCCACAAATCTCACTTCACATGCTTTGCAAAGACATCTTCTGACAACACCTATCAAACAGTCCTGCTTTTGTTCAGGAACTTCCTATGGTTCCTCAGTGCCTGCAAAATAAACTTCAGACTCTTCTGCTGGGATGGGTTATTCTCTCAGATTGACCTGTTATAGCTTAGATATGAGATGTCCCCTAAGGTCATGTGTGAGACAATGCAAGAAGGTTCAGAAGTAAAATGATTAGATTATGAGAGCTTGAATCTAATCAATGGATTAATCCACTGATGTGGATTAACTGGATTATAATTGAAGTGGCACCCTCTTTCTCCCTAGAAAAGACTTTAACTGGGCTTCTCCAGAAATATTCACCCAGAGTGATTTTAGGACTATCAGCAAAAGAGTCTCTGCAAAAGAGTTCAGTGAAGATAAACTTCCTATTTTCCCGTCGCCCTGTTTTACTTGGCCACTGGCTAAGAAGATACCAGCACTCCAGATGCTGGACACCCCTTATTAGTTTTCACAAACATATCTGTTAGATGCAGGGCAGGCTGAAGTAAGTTATCTGCAGGGCAGGCTGAACGAATGTTAGCTGCAGGAGAACCCACGCACTCAAGCCCACCTCTGTCTGGTCCTTTATCACCTGTTTGCATCAAGGCTGAACACTCAACCCCCACCAGTCTGGTGCAACGGAAACCCACATCTAGCCCCTGCCCCGTCTGCCTGAAGGCAGAAGATGACACTACAGTATGATCTAATCACTGTAGGCCAACAAGGCAGCTTACAGACCCAGAGACCCCATTAGATTTGGGCTATAAAAACTCCCTCCCGCCGGGCCCCTCTCTCTTGCTCTTGCTCTTTCTTCAGTTCTCCCTCTCACTCTCTCCTCTCCTCTTCTCTCTCTCTCTGCTCCCCCCTTTCTTCTCTCTTTCCCCACTCTTTCGTTCTCTCTCTTTTTCTCCTCTTTTGCATTACTGCAATAAAGATCTCTTGGTTGCTCCGAGTGTTGTGGTCACTTTCCTTTCAATATCCAGTATAGTACTTTGAAGAAATGTGCAAACAAGGCCTCTGCCCTTGAGCTGGGCTTCACAGAGATGTCTACATTTTTAAGATAAGAGAAGTTACCGGGCTGGGGCTGTAGCTCAGTGGTAGAGTGCCTGCCTTGCATGTTTGAAGTACTGGGTTCAATCCTCAGCACCACATAAAAATAAATAAAGATATTATGGCCATCTACAATTAAAAATTAAAAAAAAAAAAAAAGAGAAGTTACCAATTGGGCTCCATGGTAACAGCTGGCAGGGGAGGAAAGAAGGGGAGAAGAAGCTCTCCCCTTCTCAGGTGTTGTCCTTGAAAGGTTAACTTGCCCAAAATAGTGAAAGAAAAAGCTGCTTTTATGTGAACTTCTGCAGACTGTGAACTTCTGAGCCCCTCTCCTTACACACTGGGTATAAAACTCTGAAACTCCCTGAACTCGGGGTTCAGGGGATTGATTGATGACAGCAAAAGCTGTGCCCTCTGAACCTGGCTGCAGCCAAATACAACTGTTTCCTGCTATCTTCGGTGCCTTGCCTCGTTTGTCCCTGCAGCATAATGATAGGTAGGATGTGGCTGCAAGATATAGGTCACTGGGTGCTTAACTTTAGGGTATTTACTTTCAACCTGAACAGAACACTTCCTCTCTCCCTCCCTCTCCCTCTTTCTCTCCCCCGTCCCCTTTTCTCCATCTCTCCTTCCTGGCTGTCATGTCTCAGCTGCTGTCCTCCACCAGGCCCTTCCGCCTTAACATTCGAGCTATGGAGTTGGTCAGCCATGGACTGAACCTCTGAAATTTTCAGCCAAAATAAATTTTTCCTCCCCTACATTGTTCTCTTCGGGTCTTTCAGTCACAGTGACACAAAGCTGACTAAAACATGACCCCATCCCTCAGCTGCCTGTTTTCCCTTATTCCATTCTAGGTCTTCATGTTTTAGTCAAGTGGAACTGCTGACCATTCCACATGCAGGTCTACCTAGTCTATTGAAAATTTTGTCATTCTTCAAGTCCGGTGTGCTCCACCTCCTCTGGGAAGCCTTCCTAGATTCAGAAGACCTGCCCAAGTCTCTTCGAGGTCCTCCCACATATTATTTTGTAATAACAATAACCAATGCTTATTAAACGCTAATGTGAAGCCAGATCCTGGGGAAGCTGAGTCAGAGAATTGCTTGACTCAAGGAATTTGAGACTAATCTGGGCACAGTAGTGAGACTCCACCAAAAAAAGGGGGTAGGGGCTAGGGGTATAGCTTGGTGGTAGAGCATTTCCCTAGCATGTGCAAGGCCCTGAGTTTGATCCCTACTACTGCAAAACAAAAACAAATCAAAATAAAAACAAAACAAAAAACCACCAATGTGCAAGACTCCATTATTTATAATCTTTATACCAATTTATCACAGGGTGACCAGCACCCCACCAGTATAGTTTTCTGCTCAAGAGGTGATGAGCCACCTGAGAAAATGAAAGCCTTAAATAACTAGTGAAGAATTAAGAGACCCAGAGCCAGAAATTAGTTTTAAAAAGCAGAGCACCTGATAGGTCTTCCAGTCCTGGTAGGAGCTGGAACTGAAGAACTAGAAAATGGCTCTGGTCCTTTATTTAAGGGAGAACATCAGAAGCAGGGGAGGGTTTCAGTGGGGGAGTCTTGTGGCAGGGGATTTGCAGCAAACAGGTTGACTGGCATCTTGGCGAGTTACACCCATCTCTGAGAGGCTGTGTGGCTATGTATCTCCAGAGGGTCACCCCAATTCCAGAGCAGTGCTGAACCTGGCAGAGCTAAGTAGGAATTTCCATGTTTTGGGCAGTCTCAGAACCAGCATGAGTGCCTCTGGGAGTTCCCAGATTCTAGACTTTCCTACCTAGTGACTTCCATGATGATTGGGTTCACGCACATTTCATGGATGGCTCCTGGCATCAATTTGTTTCTTGTTGTTGTTTTGGTTTGGTTTGGTGTTTTTGTTGTTGTTGTTTTTGTTTTGTACTAGGGATTGAACCTAGGGGTGCTTAACTACTGAGTCACATCTCAGCCCTTTGTATATTTTATTTAAAGACAGTGTCTTACTGAATTGCTTAGGGCCTCACTAAGTTGAGGAGGCTGGCTTTGAGCTTGCAATCCTGGCTCAGCTTCCCTAGCTGCCCAGACGACAGGCACGCATCACCACACCCGGCTCCTTATACCAATCTTATGAGATACATGTTGTTATTTCCAGGTTTTTAGAGACAAAGAAACTGATGCACTTGGGCAAGCAATGATTTGCCCAGGATTGCGTGGCAAAAAGCAGGTGAGTCAAAAGCTGAACCAGTCTGTCTAGAGCCAGTGCTCTTAACCTTGCCCCACATTGTGTCCCTTTTCTATCATTTTTGTGAAACAAGCCTCCTTTGCTGCTTCCTCTGCTGGAGAACCTCTCCCCACACCAGTTCTTCCTCATGCCATGGTAAGCAAGGACAGTTCTCCCAGCAGCATTTCCTGGCTTATCATCAGGTAGGCTGGGTTAGGTGGTATCTGCCCCAATCACTTTCTTCCACATTCCATGTGCAACCTGGGTGAGCTGTGACCCCCAGAGCCCAGCACAAAACCCACAGTAGGCCTCAGATAGTCTTTGCTGAATGAATGAACGAACGAATGAATGAATGAATAAGGTCTTCTTTCCTCATCTTGGAATCCCTTACCTCCCAGTCTCTCCAAAGAAAGCTTTCAACACAGTCACTGAATATTGGCTGCATCTTTGGAGTGAAAATGGGCACTAGCTTTGCTGGGGTGCTTAATTTTCTGCACACAGTCCCCAGGCAGGTTGGGCTAGGTCCTGTATCCTGAGCCCCAGATCTGACTTCTCAGAAATGGCAGAAATACTGGGGCTCAATGTCTGTTTCCAGCCTTACTGTGGAATAACAATCAAACCTGGAGAGCATCACTAAGTCACTAAATCTGACCTTAAGTTTACATATTTGCAAAACATGGCTGTTGGTATCCATGCCCTCCTTAGCAAGCTGCTTCTTCTCTCCTACCTCTCCTCCTCCTTCTCCTTCTTTTGGTATTGGGGGTCAAACATGCTCTATATCTCCAGACCCTTAAGTTTTTTTTTTTTTTTTTGAAGAGTTGGGGATGTAGCTTAGTGGTAGAGCACTTGCCTGGCTTGTGGGAGGCTGTAGGTTCCGGGTTCAATCCCTAGTACTTCAAAGAAAGGAAGGAGGAAGAAAAGAAAGATTATAGGCATGCACCACCATGCCTGACTTCTTTCTTTTTTCTTTTTATTTCCTTCTATCCCCACCCCTACCAACCCCCTTACTGAAGATTGAACCCAATGGCAAGCACTTTACCAATGAGCTACATCCCCAGTCCTTTTTACTTTTTGAGACAGGGTCTCACTAAGTTGCCCTGGCTGGCATGGAACTTTACATCCTCCTGCTTCAGCTTCCCAAAGTTGCTAGGATTATAGATGTGTGCCATTTTATCCAACCCTAGCTCCTTTAAAAAAAAAATTTAGTTGTAGATGGTCACAACGCCTTTATTTATTTATCTATATGTGGTGCTGAGGATCAAACCCAGGGCCTCACACATGCTAGGTGAGTGCTCTACCACTGAGCCACAACCCCAGCCCTCTTTTCTTTCTTTCTTTTCTTTAAGACGGGATCTTGCTAAGTTGTCAAGGCTGCCCTCAAACTTGACTTCCTCTTGTCACAGCTTTTCAAGTAGCTGGTACAGCTGGCATTACAGATGTGCACCACCACAACCAACTCTTCTTTACACTTTGTAAAGTGTAAAATGTTGACAATAACTCAGTCTTTTTAACAAATGTTTATTGCACATTTACTATGTCATACATATTATCTTGTTAAAATTTCAATCTTCACAGCAACCCTTTGAGGTAGATATTAATCTTCCTCTTACAGATGAGGGAACTGAGGCTCAGGGAGGGCATATGACTTACCAGAAGTGCCCTGGGGCAATTTTCAGAGAACAGATTTGGGCCACATGCATCTGTACTCATGCACCAGTCCACCTGCCCTACATCCTGGGGGACCATGTCTGCCTGCAGGCCTCTCCCCAGGCCTCAGCATTTACCTCTGAAGTAGACAGGGAGTCAGTGGATGTTTCCTGAGATGATGGCAAGGTCTCAGTTGCACCTGCTACTGAGATAACACTGAGAAAAGTCCAGCCTCTTACTCCCCACACCCTTTTTTTTTTTTTTAACAGAACACTGGGAGAGGGATATCAGTTTTAATCTGTTTAGATCTTTACAGGCACTTTTCTTTTTTACAAGTTTGGAAACTTGAGGGATCCTTGAGGGAAGCACAAGGGATGAATATCAGTTCCCAAATCCCTGACTCCGGAGCCAACCTCAGGGTTCAGTCAGTGCCAAGGTGAAGTTGAAGTACAGCTGGTGGGAGCTGCTCACCCGCATTCCTCGAAGATGTCTGGGTAGTGCCGGAAGAGCACTGGCGGGTCCCGGTCACCTCGGACTGGGGCCCGAGGCACAGCCCGGATGCCAGGCCTCCGGCCCCGCCGCCCCCCAGAGCAGGAGCGATGGATCCACTGGTGAGCTTCCACCGCGAACTTCCTCTTGAAGCGCATGCCACATTCAGGGCAGGGGAAGGGCCGCTCGCCCGAGTGCATGCGCCGATGGCTGACCAGCAGCGACGGGTAGGTGAAGCGGCGGCCGCAGTCTGCACATACATGACGCCGCTGGTTTGCCTGAGCATCCACACTGGCCACGGGTACTGGGGACTGTGCACGTGCCGTCTGATCCCAGGCAACTTTCACGGGCAGCTGTGCTCTCGCAGAGGCCTTGCTAGTAGTGGAGTCAGGGTTGTGTTTAACAAACTCTTCATGCTGCTCCTTCCCAGGAGTCATCCCTCTTCTTCTGGCCGTAGGACCTTCCTTGGGTTCCAACTTCTCCTTGTTTGGGATGTCTCCTGGGAAACAGGTATTAAGGTACATTTTAAAACACTTTTGCATAAATCATCTCAGGTTATAGGTTGCTTTTTACTTATGAAGTGCTGAAAAAAAATACTGCCAGTAATTAACCTTTGGTGGAAGGTGAACAGATCTCCTTCCTCATGTGTCAAATGGAAACAATAATGGTTTCTTGACTTCATAAGATCCATGGGAGGATTAAATGAATAATGCATAGTCAGCACTTTGCTCCAGTTCACTTCCCTGGGGGTTGATGAGGGAAAAAGACCCAAGTTAATCAATTACCAGTATTTTCCCTGATACCACTTTGGCTTGCTTGAGAAATGTGAAAAAGTAGACTGGAAGCCACTTCCATTGTTAAGGACATTTGAGTTGTTCTTGAAAAGGGAAGAATGGTGTTTTCTATCAGAGGGACTTGGAAACCTGAGTCTTGGACTTGGGCTCCTGGCATCAACATGACTACTGTCTCAAGTTCTGCAAACTTGTACTAGGTCTGCCTTCTTTCCTCTTCTAGTATCCAACATAGGTTGGTTCTTTCATTAGAGATGTTGGGATTGAGGACCTGAAAGAAAACTTTGCTAGGAAGAGTATCAAGGGGGGGATGGGAGGAGACCTGGGACAACCCCTCACCTCTCAGAGCTCCTCCCAGGCTTTCCCCCTCCTCAGGATCCTGGGCGGCGGAGCTCCAAGCCTCACTCTCCTGTTCCATCCAAGAGATGAGGGCTGGTTTGGGGCCTGGGAATCCTGGGAGAGAACAGGGATCACAGTGCCGGCCTGAGAGGCTGTCCTGGAAGATGGCATCCCCCTGCCACAGTGAGGGCACCTCCTCAGAACTTATGCTCAACCTGAACAGAGTCTGCAATGCTCTGGATGAAGCGGATACGGAAGGGTAAGACTCCCGGGGGAGTACCTGAAGCCCCGGGAATGGGAGGTGGCTGGCGCCGTTGGTGGACTAGTGCGGGGTGAGGGCTCACGATCCACTGGGTCCTTCTGTGTCATGTCCCCCAGGAAACCCGGTGAAGGAGGGGGGCTCTGGCCAGGGGCCTCACCGAGCGCGCCCAGGTGGCCGTAGGTCTCGCGCATCACGTCCCGGTACAGCACCCTCTGCGCGGGCCGCAGGCACCCCCACTCCTCCGGGGAGAAGTACACGGCCACGTCCGCGAAGCTCACGGCCCCGGGCTCCCTGCAACCTGGCCGGGTCTCCCTGGGTCTCAGCGCCAGGAGCTGGGCTGGGGGCGGCGCCATGGGGTTTCCAACCCCGAGTAGCGGCAGCCTAGTCCCTGAGGCCACCGCCTCCCGGCTCCTGGCCTCAGCTTTCTTCGTCCACGGGAAGGGTTGCCCAGGCCCGGGCCCCGCCCAGCCTCGGCGTCCGAACGCTGCCGGGAATGGGAACCGAAATAGTAGGGACTAGCTACTAGGGATTCGGGGATGGGGACAAATAAAACTCCTTGGTGTTTATTCACTTCATGGCCGCTTGGACATAGACACCCGGGTTAAAGGACCCGGAAGGTGCCTTCAGAAAATATGGCGACAATTTGGCTTCAGTTGCCACTGGTTGTTCTTGAGGGCGCCGCTTCTTTTAAGCATATCAAATATGGCGCTTTCTGGCTTCTCTGGCATCAGCGTCTCATTTGCCCTGAAATATAATGGCTGCTTCAGGAGTTTTCCCCGCCCTCCTTGTCCCCGGGGCCCCTTCTTTTGGTGTGGCAGGAGGACTGACTGGAAAGTCGAGGAAAACTTTCTTGCCCTCAAGAAAGATGGACGCAGCTCACTCCACCTCTCTGTACCCACAACAGACAGCGGTTGATGATTGGCTGTAACCGCAGGAAGAAGCTGCGCTGTGATTGGTCCGGATCGGCTGGGCGTTTGAAACAGAACCTGAATCTTCCTTAGGCGGACTGGAGCTCAAGAAGAACCTTGGCGGCTTTGGTGCCTGAGAATTGGTCCACCACGGTTTCCCCCGTACCTTTCAGCAGCGGGATCTAGAATCTGGACCCCAGCTCTTGCGGGAAGACACTGTAGCAAAACCTGGATACAGCGGTCCAGGTAGAAAACAGCATGTGTTTACAGCTGCGGAGCCAACAGGACCCTTTGTATATGCGAGATTCCGCTTGCCCTGGCTCTGGGATATGCCTGTAATTCCAGATACACCGGAGGCTGGGGCCGGAGGATCGCAAGTTCGAGGCCAGCCTCAACAACTTAGCGAGCTCCTGTCTCAAAGCAAAAAATAAAGGGGCTGGGGATGTAACTCAGTTGTAGAGCACCGGTGGGTTTAACCCCCAATACTGCAAAAGAAAAAAAGTAATATAACCAGGTTTGTTATGTAAAGAGGAGTACTTTAAACTCCCCCTATTTCTTTTCTTTTTTTTTTAATTTTTAAAAATTTTTAATTATAGATGGACACAATATCTTTATTTATTTTTATGTGGTGATGTGATCAAACCCAGTGCCTCACATGAGCAAGGCAAGTGCTCTGCCACTGAGCCACAACCCCCATTTCTTGAAGGAAACGATTTCTCTTTATTAATTTGAGTTATAATATACATACAGTAAAATACCCAAATCTTCGATGTAAGATTCCTTGAGTTTTAACACATGTAACTGTTACCCAGAACAAGACTGGGACATGGATGTCACCTCTGAATGTTTCCTTGTGTACCCTTTCCGGTCATTTTTTTTTTTTAATATTTATTTTTTAGTTGTAGTGCTCTACCACTGAGCCACAACCCCAGCCCCACTTTTTAAAATTGACACGTTAATATTGCACGTTTGGGGAATACTGTCTGATGATGTTTTGATACATGTAGACGTTGTGTAATATTCAAATCAGGATAAGCATATCCATCCCCTCAAGTATCTATTGTTTCTTTGTAGTGAAAACATTCACAACAGTGAATTATCGTACTGCATATTTCAAAAAACCTAGAAAGAAGAATTCTTCTTTTTGAAACATATAGTACAATTATCGTTATCTGGAGTTAACATGCCTTGCAGAACACCAGAACCTATTTCCCATACAGTCAAAACTTTTATTGTGGTAAAATACATAGATAAAATAGATAGACTAACCATTTTAAGCCTTCCTGTTCCGTGGTACTTAGGACATTCACAATATACCACACAATATACCACTATCATCACTTTGGTGTTTTTATCACCCCATAAGGAAACATCCCACCCATTTAGCAGCCTCTTCCATCCTCTCCTTCTCCACCCAGCCCCTGACAACCACTAATCTGCTGTCTCTATGGAACTGCTTTTTCTCGATATTTTATATAAATTCATTTATCCGTTCATTAGTTGATGGACATCTGAATTTCTACCTTTTGGCTATTGTGAATAGTGCTGCTATAAACATTTGTGTATAGGGTTTTTGTTGTTGTTGTTTAACAACTTTATTGAAATACAATTTGCTGACTGTACAATCCACCCATTTAAAGTGTCCAGTTCTATTTTTTTTTTTTTTTTTTTGGTACTAGAGTTTGAACCCAGGGATGCTTAACCACTGAGCCACACCCCCCTCCATTTTATTTAGAGACAAGGTCTCACTTGAGTTGCTTAGGGCCTTGGTAAATTGCTGAGGATGGTTTTGAACTCACGATCCTCTTACCTCAGCCTCCCAAGCCGCTGGGATTATAGGCATGCACCACTGTACCAGCTCAGTTTGGTAGTTTAATTTGCCACTTTAATCATTTTAAAGTTTACAGTCCGGCAGCATTTAATACTTTTACAATGTTATGCAACCATTATTACTATATAGTTCCAAAATGTTTTCTTGAGTCCAAAAGGAAATCCAGAATCCATTGAGCAGTCAATTCCCATTCCTCTCCTCTCCCTCCAGCCCTTGGTCACCTCTAATCTACTCTGTGCATGTTTGAATTTGTCTGTTCTAAATGTTTCATATAAATAGAGTCATATGATAATTGCCCTTTTTTATAATTTGACTTTTTTTTATTTTTATTTTTTGTAGTTGTAGATGGACAGAATGCCTTTCCTTTATTTTTTTATGTGGTGCTGAGGATTGAACCCAGTGCCTCATGCATGCTAGGCAAATGCTCTACCACTGAGCTACAGCCCCAGCCCCATAATCTGACTTATTTTACTTAATTTCAAGGTAAATCCATTTTGTAGCATATATTAGGATTTCACTCCTCTTTTTTAAAAATTGTGATATATGTAACAAAGTTAACCATTTTAAGTGTAGATTCACGTTGTGCAACCATTACTCCAACTATCTCCAGAACATTTTCATCTTCCCATGTTGGGTCAATACATTTTTAATGCTCTGAGTTGTTTCTTTTAGAACTTTAATTTGGTGGGGTGGGGGTGGGGTGGGATACAGGGTATTGAACCCAGGGGCACTTTACCACTGAACTACACCCCAGCCATTTTTATTTTGAGACAAGGTCCCACTGAATTGCTGAGGCTGGCCTCTAACTTTCAATCCTCCTACCTCAACCTCCTAAAACTGTTGGGATGCTGGGATTATGTGCTGGCTGCTGTTTTTTGATATACCAATTTTTATCATTATCTAGGGCATACTGCTGTGATGCTATCACAAATCAAAACTAGGTACTAAAGTAGTAAAGATAGATTTTAATCTGTAATACACTACTGCAGTGAGGAAAGGAGCCCAATGTGAGCTGAACTCAACTTTGGTTTGTACAGCTGCCACTGAGCACTTTAAAGAGGGGAATGAAGGGATCAGGAAGGGGCTGCTGGTCCATGTGAAACATGCCTGGGTTTGCTAACAAGATTTAACTGATGCTTATTAAAGTTAAGCTCCTACCCTCCCACAAAGGCTGGGCGAAAGTCCCCTGTCTCCAGATGTTGGCTGGAACACACAGTAGATTCTTTTTTTTTTTTTTTTAAAGAGAGAGGAGAGAGAATTTTTTTTTAATATTTATTTTTTAGTTTTCTGTGGACACAACATCTTTTATTTTTATGTGGTGCTGAGGATCGAACCCAGTGCCCCGCACATGCCAGGCAAGCGCGTTACCGCTTGAGCCACATCCCCAGCCCACAGTAGATTCTTTTGGCAGCCTTGAATTTTCTCAGGCAGGAACTTTAAGGGGTTGGTGGGATCACTCTGTGAGTGTGGTCTGGAGCTGTTAGAAACTATGTCAGTGTTTATAGTACAAGGCTGAGCTAAAGGAGAAATTGCTCAGTTTGGTCAAGGAGAGAATCTTTCTCCATACTTGCTGCTTTAGATTCCAGCCCCTTTCTCACCTCTATTCCCAACACACTTAATGAAATCTTTGTAAATATTCTCTGTATGTGCTTGTTGTTTCCTTTCTTATTCAATTGTTTGAGGCTTCTAATTACCTCCCCTCCTTGTGTTATCTACTCCTTCTCCTTTAAGTTGTTCCAAATTATTAAGGATAGTAGCATCAGCTCTCAAATCCATATTTCCCCCTTTGGAAACCTCCTTCCCTGAGTCTCATTCCTCTCTCCAGACTGGACTGGGCCTCATGTATCACCCAGGGTCTCCCTGGGTTGTAACCTCTACTTCCTAGATTCAGTGTTTTCCTCTTTGCGTTTTAGTCAAGATGGGCCATCTTGGTGGCTAGTAGAGATGGACTGTCAGTGCAGATACCTTCATCCTCCCACTTGGAACATTCTTGCAGTCAGGCAGGAAGATGCCGGAAGACTGCTTGCCGAGCTTGGGGCTGGTCACTGGAGAAAACAAATAAGACCCACTGGCCCTGGAGCCACTCTTGGCAGGCGCTCCTGCCTGCCCAAGTTCAGGCCCAACCTCACATTCTTGTTTAATGTTCCTCACTGTAGATAATACTAGGGCCTTTTCAGTCAATTTATATTTTCTGGCCTCCACTGGCTGTTACGGCTGCAATACATTCTGGCTTTTGGTAGGACTTCTGCCATCCCACCTGTTCATGGTTACATTCAGGTTTTATGGCCTGAGCTCTGGCGGTGCCTCCCTGCGCTCATTGTGGTCAGCGGTGCAAAGTGAAGAAATGAGTCTCCTTATTTCTCTATTTTTGAGTCAGGGTCTGGCTGTTTCCCAGGCTAGCCTCTCAAACTCCTGGACTCAAGCCATCTTTCTGCCCCAGAGCGGCTGGGACTAGGGTGTGAGCTACCACACCCAGCGATAGGTGTCCTTTGTTCGATCCGCCACCTCTGTCGGGTATAGACAGGGGACAGGCCGGCTGGCCACCACGGGAGGAGCGGATGCTGCCACTTTCTCATGGCCCCACCACCTGCCCACTCGCCTGTGGGAACACCAATCCCCACTTGCTCCAGATTTTCCGGGGGGGTCCTGGCAGGATCGCCGGGCCTCACCGAGTGCGCCCAGGTGGCCGTAGGTCTCCCGCATCACGTCCCGGTTCAGCGCCCTCAGCGCGGGCCGCAGACACCCCGACTCCTCAGGGGAGAAGGACACGGCCACGTCCGCGAATCTCACTGCCCGCATTCTCTACATTCTTCAGGGGTGGCGCCATGAGAAATCCCTTCAGTGCTTGGCTAAGACAGGTTTCCGAAACACGAAGATATGGTGTAGCTTTCCTATCAGAAAAGCCCACCAGGACCCTTTGTCCTGCCCTTAGCCAAGATGGCGCCTCTCCGGC